CTACGGGAACGGGGGCTGCCAGCACACCTGCGACGACACCGACCAGGGGCCCAAGTGCGGCTGCCACGTCAAGTTTTTGCTGCACTCCGACGGGGTGACGTGCATAGGTAGGTGCGAGCCATCGCCAGGACGTGGGTCGGGGTGCGGGGTGGCTCGTCTTCCTCCCTGGGCAATTTGCTCTTGGCCTGATGAAGGGTTGGGTTTTTTTTACCCCAAGCTTTGGGGATGCGGCGTTTCCTTTTGCTGAGGTCGGAGAAACTCGGTGCGGGTGTGAGGGATGCTGCGGGTACACGCGAGGCTCAGGGACGTGTCGCTGCTCGACCGCGGGGAGCAAAAGTGGCCGCGGGGATGCTTGAGGGGACGTCTGGGGACAGGTCGGTTGTGCCGGGGTGCGGGCAGGGGTCCCTGCCTGCCTCCGTGCCACTGGAGGGAGAGGGGTGAGGATGTCCCCACGCTAGAAATTGTCACTGTCACCGGCAGCATTTGGGGAGGGACACAGAGGAGACAGATTTGGCCGCCGCGATCCATTCTGATTTGGTACCGCGGGGCCTCAGCTCAGGAACAATTTTCATGCAAAAAAAACCCCAAACCCCAACAACCCGACAACTCAACCACCCCCAAAATTGTCCTTTTCCTGTGTGTGTTTTCAAATTGTAAAACATCAAACAGAGATAGAATTTTTACTGGTTTCATATGCTTGTGCTGTTTAACAGCTGATTTGATTTAAAAAAATGTTACATTCGGGGAGTGATTAAGTCCACAAATTGCTCTAGTCGTTTGAGTTCTTATTGCAAAATAAAAAAGAAAAAGGAATTGAAAGCAAGAGAGAGGTTTTGGCTCCCTGTGTCCCCGCTGTGCCTGAGCAGAAAACCTTCTGCACTTTCCAAAGACGGCTCCGTCCTCGTGGCGAGCGGCGGAGGAGCCCCCTGAGCCCCCCCGGCTGCTCCCTGCCGGCTCGAGGGATGCTCGGGGCTGAGCCCCCAGCAAAGTCCTCCTGCCCGACAGCTCGGCTGCCGGCTACCTTAACGTCACCGCTGTCACCCAGCCTGCTGCCAGGATTAACCCCAGTCCCTCCTGGCTGCTGGCAGGCGCTGGCAGCCCCCTGTCCCCACGCCCCCCCCGGTTGGTCCCGCGGCCGCGTCCCCCC